GTAATCAAATATTTGAGTACATTTTCTGCAAGCCATCAGTTACTTCCATTACTTTTAGAACACTGGTCCTTCAGCTCCGAAACAGCAATGACTGTCTTTTGGTTCTAATAACGGAGATAATGTTAAACCTATCAGTCCGAAAGAAGCCACAAAGCTTCTGGCTAGCTACGTGGTAGAAGAAATGCTGCCGTTGTCTACGGTGGAGTCTAAAAAAAGGTGGAGGAGGACTCACTGACAGACAGGTGAGACTCAGCATTTGCGTTATGCGTGGTACACACTATACAACTTTTCTGCCCGTTCTGAAAGTCACTATGTCACATTACACGATTGTGGAGTCATAAAATCATGCCGTGACTTGGCCGACAGACATGACACACTACACGCTGGTACTCACCAATTATCCCTGGTCGTCTTTCATGACGTGTGTCATGTCATCGGGTTATTGTTGTCCTATTTTTATTGCTTTTACTATTATTTCAGTCACTGTGTCTGTTCATGTGCCAGCCGACATGTTGTTGTAGTCACCTAAAAGCGTCAGCAGATGGCAGGAGCTACATTTGAAGCACCGTAGTCAACCATTCAAGCTACTGTATCTTCCACAGGAAGTTCTGACAAATGTTTCAGAATAAAAGCCTATTTAGAAAATGGAGGGATTCTCTCAGCCGAGGTTATAAGGGGCTTTTAATTTGAAGGAAAATCAGGAAGTAAAGACAACAGCAGATGAATCCTACCCTGATGAAGGCCAGTGAGCATGACCGAAACATGTTGGTGTTTTTAATGTTCATCATGAACTAGCCATTTAATAAAGGCCTTTTAACTTTTGTACCAGAGAAGAGTTGCCTTGGATTTTGTTTTTTGAAAATCAGGAAGTGTTGAGTTTGAAATGATGACGCAGTGTGTTAACTTTATGAAGACAACAGAGCAGATAATAAGTAAAAATATAAAAACACAGAGGGATTAATAAATAACGGACCGTCTATAATGTAGTCTGTTTCAAATGAAGCTGAGAGCCTCTGCAGTTGTGGTGAGTAAAAGCTTATTACTTTATGTACCATTGTTTGCTAGCTTGATGCTAATGACAGTACTCAGCGGGTTGACAAAGTGCCTCTGCTGTTTCACACCAGCATTTCCCCTTTTACTCTATGTGGTAACATCCCTAGAGGAAATATTAAAAATGCTGGGGTGTTGTTGTCATACAGTTGTCTACGGCAGCAGATCATTCTGTGTTTCTACTGGTCAAAGTGACGGCTGTGATGGGAGAATTGGATCTCAGTGAAGGGCAAGTGGTCCATAACTTTAATTTTGGAGACAAAAAAATGTAGGCTTAGCGCCCTGTGGTCCATTGCCCAATAGGAAATGTAGAATACTCAAAAGTACTTTAAAAGTGCTTGAGTTACTTTTCTCAGGGAGTAACATTGGAAGTACTTTTAAAGTACTTAAGTTACTTTACTCAGGGAGTATGCAGTAAAGTACTTTGATTACTTTTAAAGTAACCCTTACCCAACTCTGGTTGTCAACACAGAAAAAGCTAAACTTACAACATGGAATGTAGCCAAAAAAAAACTATTCATGAACAAAATCAAAATTATAATGGAAATTACTCTTCAATACTTCATCATTCAATATGTGTTGTCATTTTGTCTGTATCTCTATCATAAATTGTACTGTTGGCATTTAGAATTGGCCGAAATTTCTGGTCTAGCCAGCTGGTTGAAAGTGCAGATGTTTTTATCAAGATTTCTGAAGACCTAATGACTAAAAGAAAAACAGTTTCCAGGTTCAATAGTAATATTTCAAGGATAATAAATGAGTCAATTTTAGTATTTACAATTAAACAAATTGTGGAAATAGAATGGTCCAGGTCCTTCCAGGTCTACTTTGCAGAGGATGAACTTGCACTCTACATCCTCAATCTTGGCCCTGGATGGGAGGAAGTATCTGTTGTTTGGCCCTCTGTCTAGGAACTTCATCACATACCGTTCACCCTCTGGTGGTGCTGACTCGTTGAGTGATCGTACGATGTAATATGCTGCTGGTTTTGTCAACATGACAGCATAGTACATGTCTCTCTCCACTGTGAAGGTTGTGGCGCAGGTTTCATTTGCCTCTTTACCCACTGCCTCATTGCCCACTGCCTCCGATGCGTTTGTCCTCTCCAGAGGAGCCTTCTTGCTCTTGGTCTCACCATCCTTTGATTGTTTCTTTTTTGCTGCCTTCTTCCTTTCACTTTCCTCTAGACACGACAAGGCTTCTTCAGATGTTAGAGACTCTCCATATTTTAGAGTGTTGATTTGCTGTCTTTTGGCTAGATTGCTCTTCTTTGTTGGCATGATGTGTTGCAGGAAGACATCTTTGATGCCTGATGAGGGTGGAGGGCTGTTTCCAGTAGTAACCAAGCAGAGTAGTGAAAGAGCTGTTAAAACACTACTGCTTCATTACACAGGCTTTCAAATAGTGATTATGTAGACATTTTACTACTTGCTTGTATAGTAAATATGTAGTCACAACACTACAGCAACACTACATATTTTATATAGTGATCAATTAGATTTTAGTGCTTGAATATACATACTTGATGTGTATACACACAGTAGTTTTTCATGAGGCTCTGTGTGTATCTTAAGTATCATAGTGTTCAGAATAGACAACGAGAGCCTACTGTAAAATTGTTTTTTTGTTTTTTATATATAGAAGCGAAGGTAATTTCTCAGGGATTTCATTTCGGGATATTCCACTGATCATTCATATACATTTACAATTCAATAAAATTAAAGGATATTTGTGATAATACATAATACAGTAACTGAAAACACAACAGAATTTTTTTTAATTGAAATGATTTATTACTTTATAATTATCCAACCACACACACAATTTACAAAATCAGTTGTAGCCTGGTGAAATTAAACCAGCACAGGACACAAATATCTTTTGGGGTCTTTATCTGAATAATAGAATATGGTGTTCAGCAAATAAAAAGAAATAATAACAGTTTCCAAATAAAAGTGGCAGACTGTCCTCTGCCCTATCTGCAGTCCTTGTAGATAAATTAAAAAAAGCAATTGTTTAAGTCTCTAAGAGGAGGTAGAGCTATAATCAGTCAGATGTGACAACTGTTTTCCTGTTGGACTAGTCAGGAAACACTGCCCTGACAATTATAGTGAGATAAGATTAGGAAGATTAAAATGTGTTCATATGTGTAAGTTGCCCAGATGCACAAAAAAGTATCTGCCACCAATGCTCTACTCCAAACAGGAAGTTGGCCATTTTGATTCAAATTTTTCAATTTGGCGTTGATTTTGTGATTTCCACACCTTGTAATTTAACGAACAAAAACAACAATCAGTAGTCATTTATTTTTTTAGTTTTGTCAACAACTCCCTTTCCATGTCTGTGTTTCCAATTTGCTGCAACATTATGGGTAACATTAATAGCCTCTAGGCCCTGGGGACCTGGGGGTGAGTGATGACCTGAGGCTCTGGTTATCCAGCGACCTGACTCAGGACCAGCTTCTCTGCCTTTTGTTAGACGCGGTGGAGGTGGAGGTGACCACCACCTGTGCTTTTTTCCACATGTTCATTTACTCAACAGGATGTTAGGAGACTAGTGTGGCAGTGAATGCTTGAAAGACATAGCAACAGTAACCAAGGCAGCGGGGCTTAGCTAAGGATCATGTTATCCAATGACATTCCGTTTGGTGCCTCCACCTTGTTCCCCGGCGCTGCGTTGTGATTGTTTGTCACTCTTCACCGAAGGACACGGCAGTCATTACGGTAAGGAGTAGGAGCTTGCTTGTAGCGTAGTCATTTTGTGAATGTTGCTCGTGCTTCTGACATTATATGTGGGTTTGTATGCTATATAAACTATGTGTGTGTACCTACATTATATCAATTGGAATATATTGTCACTAGCTCAGCTCAGTAAGATACCGTAGCAGTTCGTTAGCGTAGCCGTTCGTTAGCAAAGCGGCTAGTTAGCGTAGCGGCTAGGTAGCGTAGGACTTACTTAGCCCCCAGCATCCTTCGACTCAGCAGGAGAGTGCGGTATTTTAGGTGTTGCGTCAGCTCACACTGGTTGTTTTTAAACTGTGGAATATTCAATGGCAATGTTTTGCCATTAGCTTAGTTTAGTAAGCTAGCGTAATTTAGCGGGTAGTTAGCGTAACGGCTAGTTAGCCGCCATTGTTCTCTGACTCGGCCAGAGAGTGATGTGTTGTAACTTAGGGGAGAGGGGTGTCGAACGGAGCATTTTTTCATATTTCCCTCTCTGCACAGAGATGCATTTATTTATAGCAACCGCATTTTATAGTGAACAACATATATATGTCCTCTACAAATCCCGACCATGTTTGCAAAGTTTGGATGAATGAGTCGCACTCAGTCTAGCAGGAAACAAAGCTCATCTGCCTGTTTGCCTCCGCATGCAGGAATGAACAGATCCACGTAAATATCTTCATATTACTGGCGTGTAACACTCATTAATGCTTAAGCTGAGTCCTCTGGGAAATGAGAATGTCCAATTGAAATAATCTTCTCATGTTTAATGTCTGAAAATGAATTACATTTGTCCAATGCTCTGTGATATAGCCTACTGTGTTTAACAAAGTATGTTCCAATGCAATTAAAGCTTCGTGGGTTTGTGGACATAATTGATTTAATAATACAAGAAAAGAAAAAAAATCCTGTCTTTTGTTCCAGCTTGTTCTTCTTGTAGGGGCATCCCATCTGCGCTCCCTTGCAGATGGGATTGTGCTGATGCCAGAGGATTGCCACACCTTTGACGTCATGTCCACTCCAGGGGTGTGCGCTGACCAGCTCAGGACTGAGGATGAAAATGCTGTTCTTCCTCAGATCTCTGATGCTGTCTGTGTCATGGCCCCTAGCAACAACCTAACGGCCAGCAAGACACCTAAGCAAGGAGGCATAGCTTTTGGCCAATACCTGTCCACTGTCTGCAGCGTCTGGCTTATTGCACAGGTAGGTTATTTATGTATTCTTTTTAATGAGGCTGATGTGTACAGGTCAATATGATTTTGTCATTAACCATTATTATTTTGTTTAGGTCTTCGCTGGGACCTTGTCCCACACTTGACAGTCCCGGGGGATATCCAAGAGTTTTTCCGGCATGAATTTCACCGCGTGTCAGCACGTCTCCGTATGTTTGAAAATAACGATACATAGTTCTAAACAGTTTTATGAAGGCTTATGAGAATTATATATTTTACATATAATTTCTAATATTATACCCATTATGGTTTTCTAATAAGAATGTTGACATTGCCTTTTTAAAATGTGTTTTTCAAAAACTGTGTTTCTTTTCTTGTTCCTTTTTTTTTTAAGGTGTGAAATATTTTCACCACGCTGACCGCTTCCCCCTGAACAACCGTAAGCTGTGGTGCTGTGATGGTGTAAGTAGAATATATTATTTTCATATCATAAATAGAAAATTATTCAACACAGTATGTTTGACAATAAAGGTCACATTTTTCAAAATAATATTTAAATTTTTTTTGTCATTGTTTTGTGTTTGTAGGTGCACCCCAGTGACGACATGGGGATGCTTATCCTTGTGGAGTCGCTGTTGGCTGTCACCAAACAGCACCTGGAGATACTAGCATACATAGGATTACGCTTGTGTGGGTCCTAGTCCCTTTTTTTTGTTAACCAACTGGTCTTTTTGTGTGTGTTGGGGTAGTTCCTAGGGGGTAGTCTAGCTGTTCTTAAGTGCATTCACAAGACACCCGAAGAAGCCCATAGAGATACTGTTTGTGTGTCACAGATGATAGTCAGGTGTCTGGTTATGACAAGTTCAAAGAGACAACTCCGTAGTTCTGGTTGGAGGAGGGTTCCTTGGGGGTAGTCTAGCTGTTATTTTAAGTGCATTCAATGGCACAAGACATGTTCCTGATCAAATATGTAATGTAATTAATGTATGTAATAATTTGCAATAAAATTGTATGATATTTTACACCCTGGTTTCACATCTCACCTGAATACTAACTGAACCATGATACTGAACTGGTAAATGGTAATGAATGGAACAGTTTCATCATCAGAAATTGTAAGAATGTTGTAATTTAAGAGTAAAAGTCAAGGAATGAGTTGTTTATATGTAGTCATTGCTTAATAGTAAGACAAAAGTAATTAAGTGGTAATCATGTAGAGTTTCAGTAGTAATTTCACAAGGGTTGTGCAGCAATGAAAGTAATTCAATAATGATGAGTAGTGATAAAACACCACACACACAGAAGGATGTAGTAATTCCATAGGGATTGTGAAGACATACAGCAGTAAATATGTAAGCATTGTGTAGTAATTCAATAATAAATGTGAAGGAATGAGTAGTGATTATATAGTAATTTCCCAAAATCCAATAGTGAGACAGAAGTAATCAAGAGATAATCATGTAGAGTTTCAGTAGTAATTCAAAAGGGTTTGTGTAGAAATAAAAAGTAATTCAATAGTGATGAGTACTGATAAAACACTACATACGCAGAAGGATGTAGTAATTCCATAGGGATTGTGAAGGCATACAGCAGTAAATGTGTAAGCATTGTGTAGTAATTCAATGATAAATGTGAAGGAATGAGTAGTGATTATATAGTAATTTCCCAAAATCCAATAGTGAGACAGAAGTGATTAAGTGATAATCATGTAGAGTTTCAATAGTAATTCAGAAGGGTTTGTGTAGAAATGAAAAGTAATTCAGTAGTGATAAAACACTACATACACAGAAATATGTAGTAATTCCATAGGGATTGTGAAGACATACAGCAGTAAATGTGTAAGCATTGTGTAGTAATTCAATAATAAATGTGAAGGGAATGAGTAGTGATTATATAGTAATTTCCCAAAATCCAATAGTGAGACAGAAGTGATTAAGTAGCAATTGTGCAGGAATTTGAATAGGCATCATGTAGTAATTGTCAGTAGTGATCAGTAGTGAAATCACCCAATACATTACTCATTACTATTCAAATCACTACACAAATCACTACACAGCTCAATAGCAATCAAGTAGTGAAACAGTAGTTTTTGTGTAGGTATTTAGTAGTAGTGATGAATAGTGATTCAGTAGTGTTTTTTCATGAGGGGATACAGTAGTGGCGCAGGGTTTCACTGGAAAGTTCAGTGTTTTCTTGGCTGGGCGAGGTTGTGCAGAGGAGTATTGTTGTATTCCAGTGCTCTTAAACCCACCCATCTCCAACACCACCATCAGTTTGGATGGGAAATCCTCTTTCCTGATCTTGTCTCTGGTCATACAGGAGTGCCTCTGCGGCTTTGTTCGCCACTGCCTCTTCACCTCCCCAAACATTGTTCTGTTGAGTGGCTGGAGAATGTGGGTTAGGTGAGAGGGCAGTCTCAGCAATACCACATTGTTTTCTTTTGCCTTTAAGGCAAGGCTGAGGGAGACGTGAGAAGAATGTCCGTCAAATATTATTATCCGTGGGAAAGCTAAGTTGGACCACTTCTCAGAATCCTTGAGGAAGAGGTGTGAGAAATAGTCCTCGAATATGACCCTCTCCATCCGTCCATGGTCTGTCACAGCATAGCGGGCACCCTTGGGACCACCCTCACACCAAGATCCATAGAGGTGTTTCCCCTTGTATACCACATAGGGTGGGAGAATCTGTCCAGCTGCATTCCCTGTTATGCAGACAGTGATCTGTTCCCTCCCACTCGCGCCCATGTTTTGGTACACATTCTTGCTGCCTCTCCTTGACAGGACTTTGCCTGCTGCTGGATCTGTGATGGACCTGCATTTGTATAGCGCCTTTCTAGTCATCTAGTGACTACTCAAAGCACTTTTTACACTACGAGTCATGTTCCCCCATTCACACACACATTCATACCCTGGTGGCCGAGGCTACCATACAAGGTGCCACCTGCTACTCAGTTTTAACACACTCACACACCGATGGAACAGCCATCGGGAGCAATTTGGGGTTCAGTATCTTGCTCAAGGATACGTCGACATGCAGCCTGGAGGAGCCTGGGATCGAACCGCTGATCTTTCGATTGGTGGATGACGACCCGCTCTATCTCTGAGACACAGCCTGTTTTATCTACGTTATAGATATTTTCAGGCCTATCCATGCAATCGGCTTTAACCATCTGTTTTTTGAGGAGTACAAACCAGCCAGTGAGAATGGCTGGGTCAGAAGTGGCTTTTGCCTTTGTATCTGGGAACTGTTATAGTCAGTTCCAGATGGTCCCGCATGAAGCGGTCAAACCATTTTTGGCCTGGTCTTCCGTTCTTGAAGGGGGTTTGAAGATTGCTATCACAAACTCTTGAACGAGATCGAGAAGATCCGTCCGGGTAAAGTCCCAACCCCATTGGCGAAGGACCTGAAGGCATGGAGAATAACAAAGCATTAGTCCTGGGGACACACACACACACACACACCACTTGATTAGGCAAAATCACATTTTTCATGACCTCACTGTTTCATGTTATCTTGTTATTAGCCTTTGATCAGGCCCATGACTGCTTAGTGTGACTCTGTGGGCAGCCTAAAATTATACAAGAAAATGTGTGTTGGGTAGAAAATTGGGGTCACACTGAAGTTGATGATAATAACAATAATAATATTGTTGACCCAGCTGACCCAACCCAGCTGGCAAGAATAAGGGCTTCCTGGTGGTGCTCTGACCCCATTTTGTAGCCCAGGGGTCCAGGACAGATGCTTCACAAGCACCTACCTGAGCAGCATTTTCACTCGCTGTATCCCAATTACTCACCCCCCCTTTTTATCTATTTTTTCCTTGTAACCCCTCTACCTTGCAAACATTTATCTTTTTTAATTTGATTCTATTAATTTTTCTCTCTCTTTACCTTTACACCTGTAAACAGACTAGCAGTGTTTTTTGCATTTCTGCCATACACCTTTTGCACCCAGGCCCTGGGGTAACCTTGGTATTTTTATACAGTCTATGGGGGTAACCCACTGTGACGCCTCTCCCACTGTCTCAAAGGATGTCCTTGCCAATCTTAGTGCAAAGTGACCTGACAGCAGAGAGTTGTCAGTTAGTCTGCTTTACCTGGGCCTTCCAGATTATTAAAGCTGGCCTGTGCGTTTAGTCCTCTCTTTCTTCATCTGACATGCATCATCCCTGCACGTTTCCTCCCTCACTGTTACATTCTCTGAGCCAGTCTGTGACACATTTAACTTATCAGCTATTTACATGGCAAAATATACCAAGGATGTGAATAACAAATTACATTCACGCATGCACTCACTAACATATACAAGTACATAAATACATACTGTATGCCATCACACACGCTCTCACTCTTATTTTTTTTTCTTACTTTATATATGCTTTTTGAGTCTATGCTTGCCGGGTACTTTATTAGGTATACCTGTTCAACTGCTCGATAATGAAAATAGTTAATCAGCCAATTATGTGGCAGCAACTCAAAACATTTTGGCATGTAGACATGATCAAGACAACCTGCTGAAGGTCAAACCTAGCATCAGAATGGGAAGAAAAGGTGATTTAAGTTACTTTGAACGTGGCATGGTTGTTGGTGCCAGACAGACTGGTCTGAGTATTTTGAAAACTGCTGATCTACTGGGATTTTCACACACAACCATCTCAAAGGTTTAGAGAGGACGGTTAAAAAATAGAAAGAGCAGCAGTTCTCTGGGCGAAAATGCCTTGTTGATGCCAGAGGTCAGAGGAGAATGGCCAGACTGGTTCAAGATGATAGAAAGGTAACAGTAACTCAAATAACCACTTGTTACAACCAAGATACGAAGAAGACCATCTCTGAACAAACAACATGTCAAACCTTGAAGCAGATGGGCTACAGCAGTACAAGACCACACTGGGTGCCACTCCTGTCAGCTAAGAACAGGACTCTGAGGCTACACTTTGAACGTGCTCAGCGAAATTGGACAGTAGAAGATTAGAAAAACATTGCCTGGTCTGATGAGTCTTGAATGCTGCTGCGACATTTAGATGGTAGGGTCAGAATTTGGCAGAAACAACATGAAAGCATGGATCCATCCTGCCTTGTATTAATGGTTCAGGCTGGTGGTGGTGTAATGGTGTGGGGGATATTTTCTTGGCACACTATGGGCTCTTAAGTACCAATTCAGCATCGTTTAAATGCAACAGCCTCCCTGAGTATTGTTGCTGATCATGTCCATCCCTTTATGACCACAGTGCACCCATATTCTGATGGCTACTTCCAGCAGGATAACGCACCATATCACACAACTCAGATCATCTCAAACTGGTTTCTTCAACATGACAATGACTTCACTGTGCTCCAATGGCCTCCACCGTCACCAGATCTCAATCCAATAGAGCACATTTGGGCAGTGATGTCCAAATGAAGCTTCATGAACCACCAGTTGTATTCGCCGAACCCACTAGATGGTGTAATGAATAAGGCTCAAGGGATGGCAATGCAGTTTGGTTTCAACTTGCAATGGCCAAATAAAGCTTCATGAACCATTTTCTTTATTTTTTGGGTCCACTCTGGCACTCTGTTCAACAAAGGGTTGAAACCGAACTGCACTGCCATCCCTTGGGATTTTTTCATTACACCAAGAGTGCCATCTAGTGGGTTCAGCAAATACAACTGGTGGTTCATGAAGCTTCATTTGGACATCACTACCTTTAGGATGTGGTGGAATGGGAGATTCGCAGAATGGATGTGCAAGCCGACAAATCTGCAACAACTGATGCTATCATGTCAATATGGACCAAAATCTGAGGAATGTTTCCAGCACCTTGTTGAATCTATGCCACCAAGAATTATGGCATTTCTGAAGGCAAAAGTGGGTCCAACCCAGTACTACCGAGGTGTACCCAATAAAGTGCCCACTGAATGTATGTTTGTTTCTTTTGATGAGTACATGTTGTACATCCAGTACCAGTGATTGAGACTGGAATGATGTCCTCTGTGCAGTTGTTGTAACAGAATTTCTTACTCCCTTTGACCAAACTGTTATGCA